GATGGGTCGGTATCGACCTGGAAGGATGTGGGCAGTGGGGTCCCACAGGGCTTGGTCCTTGGACCAATACTCTTTAATGTCTTCATCAGTGACTTGGACGAGGGAGTGAAGTGTACTCTGTCCAAGTTTGCGGATGATACAAAACTGTAGGGAGAAGTGGACTCACCGGAGGGCAGGGAACAAGTACAGGCAGACCTGGACAGGTTGGACAAATGGGCAGAAAACAATAGAATGCGATTTAACAAGGAGAAATGCAAAGTGCTGCACCTAGGGAGGAAAAATGTCCAGCATACCTATTGCCTAGGAAATGACCTGCTCAGCAGCACGGAAGCGGAAAGGGATCTCGGAGTCCTAGTGGGCTCCAAGATGAACATGAGTTGTCAGTGTGACGAAGTCGTCAGCAAAGCTAACTGCATGCATCAGCAGATGCATGACAGACAGAACCAAGGAGGTGATACTTCCCCTCTTTCGGGCACTGGTCAGACCGCAGTTGGAATACTGCGTGCAGTTTTGGGTGCCACACTTTAAGAGGGATGTGGATAACATGGAGAGGGTCTAGAGAAGGCCAGTCATATGGTTAAGGGCTTGCCAGGTGAAGCCCTACGAGGAGAGATTAGGGCACCTGGACCTCTTCAGCCTCCGCAAGAGAAGGTTGACAGGCGACCTTGTGGCTGCCTATAAATTCATTATGGGGGCGCAGAAGGGAATTGGTGACCATCTATGAATGGTCTTTCCTGGCTTCAAACCCTATGATTTGTAGACTATTTGGCTGATTATTGTATTTCAGGCCCAAGGTATCTCTAATGTGCACATACACAAAGTTAGTTATGCGGACTCCCTTCATCTCCCCGTCATCCGTCCGTGTCCCATTCCCCCCCCTTGAAGTTTACTTTCTCAAGCTTTGTGCATGTCTGGTGTGGGGTTTTTTTAAATGAACAGGAAGCAGGGGTAAAATCAAACAAGAGGAATTACATAGTGTATATTTAATTTGTGGAACTCATTGCCAGAGGACGTTGCAGGTGCAGCCGGTATAGACAGATTCATTAAAAAGTGGTTAGACCAGGGATGGGCAAAATGCGGCCTGGGAGCTGGATGTGGCCTGCTAGGCCATTCTCTCTGGTCCACAGGCCCCCCCCAGAATTTAGAAAATTAGTATTAATCTGCCCTGGGCTGCCTGTCATGTGGCCCTCAATGGCTTGCCAAAACTCAGTAAGCAGCCCTCTGCCCAAAATAATTGCTCGCCCCGGGTTAGACACTCATGGAGGACACATCCACTGAGAGCTGCTAAATAGAAGAGTCAGGGATGTATAGTCTAACATACCATAATCTATGATGGTTGACCAGATGAATTACAGCAGATATACACTGCACTTATTCTCCTGCCCCCAGTAGGCAGCCAGGTCCCATACCGTATGCAGAGCATGGACAGCCTGACTTCCTGCCTCACTCTCATGCCATGCACTATGGACAGGCAGCCCAGCTTTTTCCTGTTGTATGTGCTATGTAGCCTGGATCCTTGTTCCCCCTCCTGGCAGGAAGTAGAAACAGGAGAAGGGGAGTAGGAGTTTGTAGACCCTGGCCTCTGCAGCAGCAGGAGTGATGCAGGAAGTGACAGCTAGCAGGAACTTGCAGGCCATGTGTTACTCACAGGCTGGATGTGGCCCAGAGGCTGCAAGTTGGACAGCCCTGTACTAGTAATTGACCAACAAAGAACTTAGGAAGGATAACTAGGTTCTTTTGCCCAGTTGGTTGAGAGCTCAGCTGACAATACCAAGTGAAACAAAGTACAAGATTGAATTGGCCTTCCTAATACTGGGGGGAGGAAATATAAGAAATAGCTGTAAAATATTGGTTTTTAACAGTGCTGTCTGCCATGACACAGGAGGGGAAAGATGAGTGACTAAGCTGAATGTTTTTCTTCAGACTCCGTAACGATTCCATAATTGGCAACGCAACTAATGATTTTTCTTTGCACTGCTGAGGAATCCATCATGAGAGTCAGCTGTGGCAAGATTTTGCTGTGGGAAATATAAACTTTTTAATATTTTATTATTATAAAATGACGATAATGCTCTGCATATGAATTATATGTAAAGCAATGCCTTATTTACTGTTCTCCAATTGTTGCTAGTCCTTGTATTAGTATCCTTTCACGTAAGTACCTGGAGGTAAACGTTAAAAAAGTCACGCCATAACCAAATTCAGCGCTTGCTTAGTGTTCAACAAGACCCTGCATCTTCATGAGACACTAGACTTTTTCTGGTTTCCAGTATTATTTGCCAGGTTTACTAATATTTCTGCTTGATATGCTTTTGTAGACTGAGGCAAGTGCTCACAAACTTCATCATCAGTGCTTAACCAGCCCAAAGGAGACTTCAGGTACAGTGCATTAATGGTCTAAAATAGCAAAACAGTGTGGTAGCCCAGGAATCTTGTTAAGAATATTGGGTCACTGCTTCCCAGAAGCACTTTTTAGTGCATGTGTATGTATTTAGTCTGTGGGTTGCGTATATAAAATATACTTGTGCAAAGGTGGATCAAAAAAGTTGAGAGCTTTCTTTGACCATATTGATGTGTTTTGATTGTATATGCTAGTAAAGCAACTTATGCTGGTGATTAGAATGACAGGAAGTTGTTGATGGGAACTATTTTTAAATGTTAAGTTGTGGGTCATTGAAGAAAACTAAGCTTTAAAACCTTTTGTTGCTGTGACAGAAACAACCTTACATGTACTGTAGGGGAGTGTTTAAAGAAAATGGTGAATCTTCATACATTGCATGTTTTCAGGGCACTGTTGCCTTCATAACGTTAAGTGAAGACATTGGTTGGGACTCCTTGTAGAGATTATATACAGCTCCTTAATTAGCTCCAAAAGGGGCAGTTTGAGAGAGTTCTGGATCTTTCCTTTTATCTTAAAAGGGACCAAGCAGTGTTATCTTTACAAGACTCTTAGCATTTTATGCCCAAGGAACAAGAAACTGGACATTTACTATGGTTATGGTACAGAGCACAGCTAGAATGATTTCTGTAGCTGTTGAAGTGGTAAAATTTATTTCTTCTCCTCTCTTTTCTACAAATTCTAGCAGTAAGTGGTTGCAACAATGAATATCAACCAGACCTGGAAGAACAAACATTTATTTTAACTTTGGTGGAAATCCCAACTGACTCTAAAGAATACAGTGATGGGTCTGTTTCACTTGAACGTACCTCAGAACCATTGCTGCCAGCCCCAATAATACTCAGTCCAGTCAATACAGATGGAGCAAAAACGGTGGGAGAGCAGAGGTAAATTACCAATATGTTATATCAGTTACATTTGTATTTGTTTCTGAGCAGTTGGGCTAATTATTAGGGTGCTTTAGGATAAATATGTTGGAACTTGCTAAGAATATAGCTGTCTAGCACAATGCAGCAACATGTATGCTTATCCTAAAAGGAGAAATACAGGAGAAATGGACAAAATATACAGTTAAAGTAGAAAATGTATAATACAGAGAAGAAAACAGAGCCCATATTTGTAAGGGTAGGGAAAGTTCCTAATTCATGGTTTAAAACTTACAAGTCTTACCACTTAGATGAAAATCTCAAGGGTTCAAAAAGATTGAAGTTAAGAGTATAAGGAAATATTCATGTTTACTTTTAATTTTTATCATGTACACTACTAATTTTGATTTTAATAAGAGTAACTTCACAATAATGTTTTTGTGCTATAAATAAAGCATGGGATCCGTGACACCCATAGTTGGTGAAGTTGTTGCTCCGTCCTTAGACAACTGTACAGAAATTGAAGGACCACAAAGAACATTAACAGAGCCATTTCTTAATTTGGAGTCAACATCTTGGAAAAGGTGTGCTACTGATACTGAAGATAATGTTCCTCCTGCCAAGAGGAGTCTATCTACTTCAACAGAAGATAAGCTGGTAAGCATCTATAGCATTGGTTCCCAACCTTGGGGTGTGACTCAAATTAGGGTCATGAGGGGTCCTCAATAGGGTCACAGAGGGCCCGCACACTCGTGTATGGCCCGGAAATAGCAGGTGGGTGGATGGGGCGAGGCCACTGCACACAAAGGGGGCAATGGAAGCTTCCATTCCCCCAGGCTGCCACCACACTCTGCTCCCAGCAGCCCCCGCAGCACCGGGTCTGGAGGTCCTGTTGGTGGCCAGTTTAGGGTTGCAGCCAAAAAAGGTTGGGAAGCACTGATCTATAGTATAAGGTCAGAGAATAATTCAGGAAATATATTTTTGTGCATTGTATAATAGGTATGTGCTTGTAATATTTAATTGATTTCAAAATACCTAGCATAACTAAATTGCTTGCCTAATTGGAAAATTAAGACAATCAAGGTTTTTGGTTGGTTTGGTTTTTGCTTTTTGCAAGTCGGTAACAAGCTGCTTTTTTTTTTTTTTTTTTTTTAAGCCAGAGGAAAAATAAATACATAGACTATTTCTTTTATATTCACTTTGATATACAAAGTCAGTTTTACCGCTGGACTCTTTAACTGGCATGCTAGCAATGTCTTTTGCAGTATGTTAAGTGTTTCCATCCTGCTTTTGGAAGTGGGCTTTGAGGAGGCAGGGAAAATGTAGGCTAGAATAGTGTTTTGAGCATTTGGTTTCAGGAAGTGATGTCATGATCCTGAGAGAGGAAGCTTAACTGACCAGAAGACGAGGTTCACATCCTGTGCTTTCATGATATGGCTGAGTTTATGGAGCAGTGTTTTGAGTTGAGTCGTCATCATCTTGGTATTATAAGGGCAGCTTTGGTAATTTGGAGAATATTTTCCCCCACCTACACTTTTCTATGTTCTCTGCCTGTCATCCCTGCTTGTCTAATATGGCCATAGAGATTCCTCCACCTTAAGAAGCCTGCTGTCTAATCCTAGGAGGTCAGTTAAGTATAGGGGTGCACTGATAAACATTTTTTGGGTCAATACTGATGGCTGATTATTAATGAGCCATATCAGCTGGTACCGATCCAGTTGTTGATAAGCAGTCTGGCAGCTTGGAGAGCAGCGTCCAGCTGGTAAGTCTGTAAGGGGAGGAAAGTGGCATGGGGGTGCAGATCAAGGTCCCCAGTGAGGGAGGAGTAGGAGTAGGGGCTGGGGCTGGGGCAGGCACTGGCTAGCCAGGGTGGGATGTGGGATGGAGCTGTGAGCAGCTTGTCGAGGGGGTGCAGGGAGGGAGTGGGGGGCAGCTCCTGCTGCTGTGCACACCCCTGGGGTCGGCATAGGGGGTGTGCGCCCCCTGGATCTGCAAGGGTGGGCTGCCACTATGGGCTGGGACCAGGGGCCTGTGCCTGGCTCTTCCTGGTGGGGGTGGGGCTGAGCTGGCACTGTGCTTGGGTGGGCAGTGGTGGCACTGGGAGTGGGGGGTACAGGGTAGCCCCAGTCCCAGTGCCACTACCGCCTGCCTTGGCCCAGCTCCACCCCTGCCGGGAAGAGCCCAGTACAGCTGCTGGCTCCAGCCTGCCCTTGCCCCATGCACAGATCCAGGGGATGCACATCTCCTACGTCTGTTCTGGGGGTGTGAGCAGCAGCAGGAGCCATTTCCCCCGATCCCACCCTGCAGCCCCTGGACAAGCTACTCGTGGCTCCATCCCACACCCCATCCCAGCTGTGCAGCCCCTGCTCCAACTCCTGCTGCACTCCCTCCCTCACCCATGGGGAGGCCTCACTCTGCCCCCCCACAGCCCTTCCTTCCCCTCTGCCCCTTGACCCCAGCAGATTTACCAGTCAGGTGCTGCTCTCTAAACTGCTGGGCTGACTGTGTGATTGGTGTGACTGTGCACATACACACGGCATTTATTAGTGGCATATCGGCCACATCAGCCAAAGAAAGCAGAATGCCGATTAATGTCAATTTTCCTTTTATTGGTGCTGATACGATATAGACCAATGTATCAGTGCACCTCTAGTTAAGTATCATGTAAATGGTATCCAAAGTTTAGGACTTTTTCTTGTAAGACCTACTGCTGTCTTGAGAAGTGTGCAATATTAGTGTTTCTTTTTGGGTTTTTGCCTCAGATTAAAGGAAAAATTAACTTTTTACATTTTGTTTAATTCAGGAATCTTCAGTTAAATTGATACATGCTCCAACAAAAGTTGCTGGTAAGTTAATCTTGGTTTTAAGGAGAAACTCTTGAATGCTAAATAGCAAAATAGCAACTAGTATTGCTAATGGCATTGTGTTCAGAAAGCGGGGGAGGCTGCTTTTCTGCTGTAGTGTTAGTATTATGAGTGTGACTTAAAAACCTAACCTGGCAAAAATCTAACCTCCTTGTGATGAGGGTACACAGGGCCACAGCAAATAGCCATGCAGAGTTGGTTAGGTGTTCCATGTGTATGCTTTTACATCAAAAAGTGCTATTTCTCTGATCAGCTGCACAGGACTGTGAGCTCCAGTAGGTTGGAGAAGCTGTGTCCTTTGTCATGAAAAGCTGCAATAAATAACTGCACAAACGAACAAATGGCTCATTTTTGGTTTTGCAACCCGCTGCAAACATATGCAAGTTGCAAACCACACAGACATGAATGATCTGGGTTCTATTGCATTTAATATCTTCTTTTTACTTAAACTGCAACTTATTTTGGGTTAGGTATATGGCAAAATTTAGTATATTAATGCAGTTAATTTCAAAAGTACTGCTAGTTTAATACTATTTATTAAAATTATTTTCATTAATTTTAATAGTTGCCTCTAAGCGAAATGAGTTCACTGAAAAGAGCTCCAGAGTAGAAAACACTCTGAATTGGTTCACCTTGTTTGGGATTTTTATTGTGACCAAACCTTATTTTAGTGTTTTTCAACAGAATATACCTTGTTCACTTCAATCTCAGTGTCTCTAGACACTGGAAATGGAAGACTAAGATTACTTTTTATTAGAGAGTTCAGCTATCTGAACTCAGGTACTATACTATTAAATCATCCAATATCTCGATATCTGGCTTAAAAAAAACTAATCTCCTAAATTGGGGGAAGAAGAAAAAAGTTACTAATAGACCTAATTGTTTTCAGTGTGGTAAATATACCAGTATTTACACTTGTTTAGCAGAAAGCTGTTAACCCAAACTATTCACTGGATATTATGCTGTTTTTATTCAAAAATCATTTTGAGGATGCAAAAAAATTGCTAGGGATCTTCATAGCTACAGGGGAGCTTTCCTTACCTTTTCATTGCATAGAGAATCTGGATGGCGGATATAGAGTCTGATATAAAGCCCATTGACCAATGCGACTTAAACTTTGGATCGGGTATTTACACTCCAGAACTGTCTGAGATGAAATTCCTCCTCTTAACTTGTAATGTGTTCAGTTCTGGTCACCTCATAATGAGAAAGATGGACATTCACATGCAGGGAGAAGTACTGAAACAGAAAGGACTGAGGTATGAGGAAAGACTGAAGAAGGCAAATAAATACATTCAGTTAAAAATTTTAATGAAAGAAGGAATTATCCAAAAATGTGAAGGGCGTAAACATGATGAAGAAGTGTTTGGCATAGCACACTGGTTGTAGAAACAGAATTCAAGAATGTTTTTGAGAATTAAATCTGAATGTCCTTCATTTGTGTGGACCCTTGACAATTTCACTAATTAGTTCTTAGGCTGTGGAATAGTCCCATAACTGCAAAATGACTGGATTGAGCACCATAAAGTAGTGCAAGGAGCACTTGTACACTTTTGGTGGGACATCTGAATTTTTCAGTCTGCATGTGCAATCTGTAAACTTTTAAGTGGGGTCAAGCTTTGGACCTGAAAACTGTAACAGTAGTTGTGTGGGGTTTTGTTGTTGTTGTTGTTGTTTTTTAAAGAAAAGTAGATGGCTTACTCCTTCCCTTTCTCCTGCCTCCGAGGGGGTGGGGCGAGAAACGTAGTGTTGCTTATAGTGACTTCAAATACTATATTTTCTAATAACAGTAGTAGTATTTTGCACCATTATGGCAGAATATTATTTTTTTTATGGCAAAATTAAATTCGTCACTGAAAAGTGAGCTCAGGTTCCCCATTTATGCTTAATCACTTGTCACTTTTACAGGAAAACTTTTGGAAAACCTGAGATCTTCAAAGAAGAAAAATATACCTACCTCAACATCTTTGTCTACATCTGCAGATTCGCAACTAGAACAAGGAGGCCAACCTAAATCTTTGCAGAATGTAGAAACTTTACCACTTGAAGATAAATCAGCATGCAAATATTTAAATGAAGGGGGATCTGGAATACACCCTGAGATAAAAATAGGAGCCAGTGAGCAAGGACTATCTGTGGAGGTTCATGAACCTGAACAGTCAGGACATACTGGAACTATAGCAGCCCCATCAAAAACCACATGTGTCAGGTATGTCTTGAAATACTGGCTTTTAACCTTTTTCTGTACTGAGGCCTATTCTCTGTAAAGGGAATGCCTGAGGTTATCCTTGCACTTGGCATTAGGAGAAGGACAGTCATAGAATCATAGAAAGTTAGGGTTGGAAGGGACCACAAGAGGTCATTTAGTCCAACCCCTGCTTAAAGCAGGACCATCTTCAACTATATCATCCCAACCAAGGCTTTATCTAGCCAGGTCTTAAAAACCTTCACGGATGGAGATTCCACAACCTCTCTGGGTAACCTGTCCCATTGTTTTACTACCCTCCTCGTGAGACAGTTTCTCCTGATACCTAACCTAAACTTCCCTTGATGCAACTTGAGACCGCTGCTCCTTGTTCTGTCATTTGCCAGTACTGAGAACAGTCTAGCTCCCTCTGATTCTTGTTTGTGACACCCAAGTGCCGAGAGCCCATTCTCTAAAACAGCATCCTCTTCAACAACCGAACAACAGAGACCAAAAAACCCTATTAAGAATCTGACTGGTTTTGTTTTGTTTCTGAATTTGAAAAATTATAGCCATGGCATGGATATTGCATGGTCACAGCTAGTTCACATTTCCCACACTTCCCTGGTAAACGTATAAGTGAACAGACAGTTGTCTCTTGCTCAGTCTTTTTTGTTTGTTTGTTTGTCTATTTATGCAGCCAACAAAATTGTATTTTGTGATGTAGACACCTATCTGTTAGTCTGGGTTTGGGACAACCATAAATTTATTAGCTTTGTCAAATAACCATTTCTTTGAATCAATCAATAACTATTCTGTTTTTTCCCCAAACATTAGACTGCTGTTACTTAATACCCAGAGAATACTGAACATTTCCAGAGCAATGTTAAGACATCTCACTACACCAAAGAGATTATAATATAGGTGACATACAGAGAATGCAGCATAATTGTTAAATTCCTTTAGATGGTCCAATTTTTAAATTTTTAATTTACTTTCCACCTTTTATATTGGACTTCTGTTCTTTTATCAAGCACTAATATACTGCTCACACTTTAAAATCAGATTTCTGTTTGACCTTTGCTTTTTGTTTCCTTATGGCCTCCCCCTTGCCTACTGACACATGGTGATTTTACTGCTTCTTTTCCCAGCTTAGCGGTGGGGTGAATTGTAGTTGTCACTTCCATGTATTCCAGGAGCACCCTTGACATGTAGGTGCTGCCTAGACATAACAGTCCGTGACTGAAAGGTTACCAACCAAAAGTGACACTTGATACTTTTTTGTACCTCTCTCAACATAATTTTTTCCCTGTTCCTGTGCCTCAGTCACAGAGACCTGCTAATTAGGAATGATGACATTGATTGACGTGTCCTGCAGCAGATCTTTCAGTCTTGCTTCTGGAACCTATTCAGGGTTCTCCCTGGGAGGTGGGATTTTTCCCCATGCAGTGCATTGGCAAAGGACAAATGGGAAGAAGAAATCCCCACTGCTCTTCTAAGGAGAGAGTCATTTCTTCCGACAAGGAATCTTTCTCGTGGAATATTTAGGAGGCTGTATAGGTCACTCTTACACCATGAACAGAGGGCTCCTATTCCCAAGCTATATGGGAAGGAGGCTATTGAGGGCTTTTGTAGTTCCATAGAGAACTGTGCTATTAAATTTGACAGGAATATATTTTGTTCCAATATGAAAGGTGGGGTTTTTTTTAACTTGCTCCTAACAATTTATTTTAGAACGCCTTGATCATTTACATAGTTTGGAGATGTTTGTTTTTTGTTACAAGTCATACTTGTTTATTGAACTAAAAACAGTATTTCCACTTCATTGTTCCTTAAGCAAGCTGGCAGTAATAAACTTTATTTTAAATAGGCCTGGGCGAAAACCTCTAGGATTTTTATCCTTAATTTGCAAAAAGAGTAGCCCTGACGTTGGAGAAGACAGTAAAGGGAACAAAGAGAAATTCCAAAAACCTCAAATACCTGCCTCAAAGCGAAGTCTGAAAAGGTCTGCTCCATCCACAGAGGACAAGAGGCAGACTCTAGAGCCCTGTTCCCTTCCCTCTACAAGCACATCATTTGCTGAAGGAGAGAATACAGCAGCTGCTGTAGTAAAGGTACATATGGCTACTTTTAACCATCTCTGCATCTTGTGTGAAAGATGAAGAGCAGTTGGGAGCAAGGTGTGAGAGAACGAGCAAGAGAAGTGATAACATTAGTACTATTTTCATAGCTATGAAGAGCTCAGTTTACTTTTGCTGTAGGATTTGTGTTGGCTATGATTGGAGGTGGGATAGGGAGAACTAAGATGCACTTCTCTTTAAATGCTAGAGAAATTTACTAGCAATCTCCAAGTATTACAAGGAGCAGTCCTATGCTTGCAGTGGACATAAAGCATCTTGAATCTTGGAATTGCTGTCTAATTTTACACAATATTGTCTTTTTCCAAAAATGTATTTCAAATGGTATGGGGGAGGGGTCATTTCTTTCAACAGATCAGCTGCAGATTAGGTCCAGGTATGTCCCTAAATTCCCCATTTGCCACCTTACCTCTTAGTCAGAAGCTTTAATGTTGTTTGTTAGAAGAATGCAACTGAAGTTAATTGAGTAGCTGTTTAATTACATTCCCTCTCTCCTACCTGAATGGAGGAGATGCATGTATTAATACTGAATCTACCCTGGTGGTTTGAAACCCCTATTGCTCTGATCTCTCTAGTCAGTTCCAATTTCTGACTTAAACAATATCAAATACCATTCTCCTTTATTACAAAATAATTGTCCGTACACGAGCTGATTTAGTTATTGTAGTTCAAGTTTTTGAGTCGATGGACTTAGGTTTCTCAACACTATTTAAAAAGCATTTGAAAATGTTGTACTGTAAACCTTGTAGACAGGACAGGTGTCTGCCTGAAAAATAATTAAGTCTGGCTGCCTGTGAGAGAACAGATGCCATCATGAATGAGCAAATGAATAAAATCCGAGCGAGGTTTCTTAATGGTTCAAGGTGGTGTCTGTTAACATATTTCTATTTTTCTAATATTAATTCAGTTCAGTGCATCTTCAAGGGTTTTAGACTTCAGATCCTAGGTTTGATATCTGGGCTGTGGTTTGGCAGTTGTCTGCAAAGATGTGGACCTGATAGACCCTCTGTCTTGCTGCACAGAAGCAGAGAACTACATCCATGCATCACACCCTCAGAATCTCAGCATGTCCCATTGGTATGCTAGATATGTTTATTAATCAAAGCATTACCTTTGCAAAGAACCATGCTCAGTTGGTGATGAGATTAAATGAGTCAACTTGCTTGTATTTAACTCTTAGTTGCTATCCATCAGATTTTTACCTGTACCATAACCAGCATGTTACCCCTCTAGTCTGGAAAATGAGACTTTGAGGAGGCAGGGAATGTATGCAGAATGGAAGCATTAAACTTTCCACACAAACTACACTATCTTCAAAATTGTAAAGTATGTTAGTTAAATTAGTTAACATTAGAAAAGTGGTTTTGAACTCTATAATCCTCAAAACACTAATCTGTCTAGTAGGTTTTATGGGCTTGTTACCATAATATCACAATGTTATGGTCCTGTCTAAGCCAATAGAAAGTATTTTTGAGCTACTCTTCCTCTGTAAACTGAGTTTCTCATAAGGAAACTAACTTTCCTGTTTTCTTGATCTCACCACAGTGTTGAAGTGAGCATTAAGAATGAGTGACCTAAAAATCTAAGTACTTCAAAGCTAAAATAGTGCAGTGGATATAAGGTCCATGGAGAGGTGACTTTGGGGGGGTGGGGGGGGGGGGAGGACAGATTTCACTTTAGTCAAACGATCTGCTAACACTTCCTCTTTATCCAAATGACTTTTCTGACAGAATTGGTTCCTCTCAAACTGTATATGAAAAGGATCCTATGATTTTTTTTTTTGCAAATTTTAAAGCCCTCAGTAGCTAGAAAACATTTTTTTCATTTGACATTAGGTTCTAGTTTTCCCAAGAGAACTGTCTAGTTGCATCTTGCTGCTGCAACAGCCTGACAGTCCTGTGGTTTGAAGGTCATGTCTTTCCCCTTTTTGTAAGATATGTCTGCTCTAGGAGCCCATTTCTCATTTGTGGGTCTTCTCATTTGTGGGTAAGGCAGATAAATTTGTACAGGCAACACCAGGTATCTAGCATTATTTATCTAACACTACTACTTCATTTCTGAAACAGTTCTAAGCCAAGCTTTATTAATATTAAACAGCAAAATCATAGAAAATTAGGGTTGGAAGGGACCTCAGGAAGTCATCTAGTCCAACCCCCAGCTCAAAGCAGGACCATCCCCAACTAGATGATTCCAGCCAGGGCTTTGTCCAACTGGGCCTTAAAAACCTCCAAGCATGAAGATCCCACCACCCCTCTAGGTAATCTGTTCCAGTGCTTCACCACCCTTCTAGTGAGAGAGTTTTTCCTGATATCCAACCTAAACCTCCCTTGCTGCAAGGAAATAGGTTAAGACATCTGCTCATTCCAGCCATGTGATACTCTGAGTTACCAAGAAGCCTTTTAGATATCTGTCTAGGAGTATGGACCCAAGAGTGGTATTCCATTTAAGTTTTATTTTAGAGAACAATAACTCCCAAGTAATAGTTTGCTTAGACACAGAAAAATGTTATTCACTCACCCAAGTAAATGAGTTGAGAAAGAAGCAAAGCACTGGTATGTTACAGTATCTTAGGTGTATTCCAGTTTTTTTCAATGAAAGAAATTTTGCAAGAGGAAACAATTTTAATTGTATCAGAAGGGGAGGAAGTGGGAAGCTTGTTTTTAACATTTTAATACTTCGGTTTTACACCAGCTGAGGCATATCTGCATAAAAGCATGTTTCTTTTATAGACTTCCTGTGATAAAACGTCTGAGAAGCCAGCTTATCCTAAAGAGCAGGAGAAAGAAGAGGCACCAACCAGCATCTCAGAATATTTTTTCAGCGATATTTTTATGGAAGTGGATGATCCAGAGTAGCATAGGAATTTCCATAAAATTTTGGGTTATGAAGCATGGTACAACAGAAGTTTCGATAATTCGCTGAATTCAGCTTTATTCTATCTATAGGTCTAATTTTTCTTGCTAGCCAGGTTCTCTCTGGTTAGTAGAAAGAGCCAGTGTGACTTGGGATTTTTCAAATTCGTAAGAAAACTAAACCACTAGATTAGTGTGATTGGACTGAAACAGACTGGTTGGTATTTTGAGTCTTAAAGATATGCAGGTACTGGGTGCATGGTTACCTTTCAGAAAAGTGCAATGTATAAATGCCTACCCACATGACAATATCCTTTAAATCATAATGCTGAAGCTTATGGGGCTACTTAGATGAATTCTTAACTTCTTTTGTGAAGTAACTCTTTAGGAGGAGAAATAAACCTTCTTATTTCTCGGTAGATAAAGAAGCAAATTGTGAAAGTGTAGTACAGCAAGTACATTGAAATATTTAGTATTGTCAGCTATTTTTACTGGCATCTCCAAATTTATGTATTTTTTGTAATTGATGAGCTTGCATGAATACAAGCTTAAAAAGGCCCTTATTGAAAAGCCAAATGTTTAATCCCTTTAAATGTATGTAGATAAATACAAAAGGTCCTTTTTATTTAATTTATTCAAAGAAGAAGACCCTCCTACTTCTGAATGCTAATTTCCTTGTAAATTTAATGTGTATAGGATGGATTCTGCTTTCATATTTTGGCTATATTTA